ATATATATATATATAATTATCTCTGACCATTTATTCTATTAATAATAACAGGCTTAACTGTAATCATCAAAAACTACAGCTTTTACTTTTATTTTAAGAAAGTGAAGAATGCTGGTCCTCATATAGGACTCCTGTATTAAACCTCACCCACCCAAGGCTCAGGGTGGTTTGTGGAAGAGAAGGCAGAAAGACTGTAAGAGCCAGTGAGGAAGTACAAGCCCCAGGTACCCTGCTCATATGAATCTATTCCAGTGGGTCAGGATACACAAATTCCATGGGAAATCAAGCAGGCAAAAACTCAGCATAGAACTGTGGAAATGGAGAGTAGACTCCAATTTTAGCTGAAGAAATAATGACAAGTAATTACTACCAGGAGAAGAAGAGTTTATCTTCCTAAAGTGAGGGACTGTACATAAGCTGACTAGACCTTAGCAGATGAACTTGCACTGAGGAACGTCTGGGAACACTAACGTGACACAATAGACCTTATCACAGATGATAGAATGTATGAATTCCAGTGGGGGCAATGGGTTTGGTGCCAGTGAGAAAGAGGTTGTAAAGATGATTAAGATTGATTGTTTGATTGTGTATAAAATACACCAAAATTCAATGAAAACAAATTAAAGAACACAATATTAAAGCACTTTTCAATTAACAGTGTTAAAATATAAGAAACATACATTTTTCAATGAAGAATTTGACTTATTTTGAGCTCATAGAAATCTCTTCATTCCCTCTCTGTCTTTCCTCTCATTTCCTTCATGTTCCGTTAACTTGATCTTTCATGCTTCTTTGTTCTTTCACTTTATCTCTAGCAGATCTGCACTAAAAATTTTCACAAACTTTGTGCTCCAGTTTTCATCCTCATTCTCCCTTTGTAACATTCTTCTTTAAATTGAGCTTTACAGTGTTTTTGTTGCTCTCACATAAATCCCATAGCTCTCAGGGCTTAATTTTTATTCTGAAGTATAAATAGAAAAAATAACTTTCACATTCTTCACCTATACATTCCTGAGGAGTTCCTGTGAGAGGTAGCAGCCACTCAGGACACTGGATCTTGAGCTACACCCTTTCCTACTTGTATAATGCTTATGAAAAAGAACACACCCGTGGGAATTTTCAGGAAGCAGTTAATCATTCACAGCTGGCAGTCCTAATCAGTCTGTCTCCCAAAGTTCAAGAAAACTGCCTAGAGGAGATGGAGACTCATCACATCCGCCCTACTAGAAATAAATCTACCCTATGCTGAGGAGTAACCATGGAGTCATCTCTCCATTCCCATCTCCCAAAATTTCTGCAAATTTACAACAAATTTCTCTGTGTGGAAATATGTCTCTCTGGTACAGAACATTTCTTAGAGTCCAGCTTCTAAACATGGTTCCAACATGTATCTTATCCTAGTTCACTGTTTTTTGCACATCACTTGTTTAATATAATATATATTTATATATGTATATATATAATTAAATCACCAATTTCTATTGGATAAAATTTTTGCTGACTTCTTATTCTTATAGATTACTTAAAATGTAAAGTATTTTCTTCATTTCTATAATTTTCATTCAATAATCATCAACACACTCATGCTATTACCAGAGAGCCTATACAAATACATGAAGCACAAGAAGCACACAGAACAATAAAAAGACAGGACCAAAAAGGAAAATCCCCATGTTATATCATGGTAAAAACACTATATGTACAGATCAAACAGAAAATACTGATAACTGTAAAAGTAAAACAAACCAACAAATCACATATAAAGAAATCCCATGAGAATTACAGCTGACAAATCATAGCAAACTATGAATGCCAGAATAACCTGGACCAAAGTATTTCCAGTTCTAAATGACTGTAGATGTTAGCCCAGAATACTTTACCTTTCAAAAATGTCTATTATAGTTGAAGGGGCAATAAAAATCTTCCATGTCCTGAAGAGCCTGAAAGAATACGTGCCCACAAAACCAGTTTTTCCAAGATCACTTAAAGCAATACAAACAACCGAGAAAGGAACAACTATAGCCAAAGGCGAGAAAAAGAACCTTAAATGAAGGAATAATTGTGGAAACACAAAATTAGACCAAGAATGCAAACAGTAATCAAAACGGTGGCCAATACACATCTTTCAACAATAACTCTAAATATCAATAAACTGAACCCCCCAGTCCAAAGATACATACTAGTTGAAAGGATTGTTTTGTTGAGTGCAAGGAACTAATCTCAGCTTCAAGAACAGGCACTGCCTCACGGTGAAAGGATGGAAAAGTATATTCTAAGCAAATGGCACTAAGAAACCAGCAGGAATTACAATCCTAATATCTGACAAAGTACTTCAAACTAAAACTAAGAAGAAGAGATAAAAATGGTCACTTCATTCTTATTAAAGTATCAGTTAACCAAGAAGATATTACAGTAATGAACATATGTTTATGAAAGTCTAGTGCACCCAAATATATAAAAACAACACTATAGGAGTTTAAGACATGATAAACCCCAACTCAGTAATAGTAGGTGACTTCTAAATCCCCTCTCTCCAATAGACAGGTCAACTGGACAAAGAATAAACAGAGAGACATCTGAATTAAATGATACCATACATAAAAAGAACTTAACATTTTTTAATGTTCCACCCAGGCAATAAAAAATACTTTCTATTCAGTACCCCATGTAACTTTCTCAAAAATTGACCACAAACCTCAACAAATACAAAGAATTGAAAAAATCCCATGTAATCTATAAGAACACAATACAATAATGCTTAAAATCAACGCTGAAAAAAGCCCTAGTCACTACATGAACTCATGGAGATTAAACAGTACACTTTAGAATGATGAGTGTGACCAAAAAATTAAGAAAGAAATAAACAGAACTTCCCCAAAAATCTTATTAATCTATACACCCACTTCCCAAGTGGCACCTCCCATTGCCCCTCCCCCACTGGAGCCCATATACTCTGTCATCCCTGTTACTGTCCACTGAGTTTTCGGTGCCCCAACCATTCCCCGGTGCTTGTCCTTCCACTGAATCTAGTCAGCCTATCTAGAGATCCTTGTTTTAGGAAGATCAACTATTGCTCATCTAGCAACAATCAGTTGTCAATAGATAAGATTGGTGTCTGCTGTTCATTTTCCCAGTTCTATGCTGGGTTACTGTTTGGGAGTCTTTTGGGCTACCCTGGCAAATAACTCAAAGGAACGTATCTCCTGTCTGGCATTGTTTCTTGTTATGTATCCTTTAGCTATACATACAGACTCTTAAAAAATTGTATTGACCCCTTTAATCTTTGGTTGTACAATCTTTTTGGGTATTTAAGACCCTACAATCTGCCCAGATAAACCAATTTATTTTTACTCTGAAGGTTGTTTGAGGATCTGTTCCTCAAGGGTCACATTGGCTTGGGAGGAGCCCCTGGTTCCTTTCTTTTTCCAGTTCTGTCTATGCGAAGTTAATTCAAAGACCTGCTCAAACACGGCTGGCTTCACTTGGAAGCATGGAGGAAATGTTTCCTCTGTGTTGACCCACCTCTTTGTAGACTTGGCACTGGTTCAACTAAGAAAGAGATGGAGCAAGACACCAGAAAATGGAAAGATGATCTATGCTTATGGATTCGAAGAGTTAGGAGTATGAAAACAGCCATCCTGCCAAAAGCTGTGGGCGTCACACTTTGCCTCTTGGTGTAACTGTGCTTCTGTGGTGGTAATACCTAGGGCTGAGACCATTTGCAGTAAGTCAACTTTATCAAAAATTCAGTATGTTTTTATACAATGTAAGGAATTGGCAGTTACATGGGCTTTGGCAATTACATACAAAGATTTAAGGGTGAATAAGATGAGAAACAACATACAGCTTTAACTGGAGCCAGATAGGGCTGTTTGTAAAGCAAGATGCTTGAATTTTTACAAAGGGTTACCAGTGCCTATCTAGTAATTTATTGGCCACAATGTTTTCTTTCTGAGGCCAGAAAGCATAATAACCTTTTAGATTTTATCCCCGGAGTAAACTTTTACCCTGGTCTCACATTCTTTTAGCTAGTGAGAGCTGAGAGTTATTTCTTCAGAACAAGGACATGGGCTAATGTTGTTGACCAAGACACTTTGCCTCACAGTAAGGAGCTTAAACCTTTGACCCAGCCACTTTTCTCCAGATAGTCCTGCAGTGTTCAACAAGACAGGGATCTGAGGACTGTTGTATTCAGTGCCCCTTCCTTCAACAGAGATTGTAGAACTTCATTAGAGATTATAGGCTTGTAGGATTACTACACCAGATCTCAAAGTATACTACAGAGCTATAGTCATAAAAACAGCATGGTACTGGCATAAAAATGGACCCATCAGTCACTGGAGCATCATCATTGAAGAGTCAATCTTGAGTACA